GCGGGGGGGGCGGCCCCCCCCCCCCCCCCCTGCCGCTGTGAGGTTCGCCACTGAGCGCTGCTTGCGGTGCACTGGGCATGCGCGGTAACATCTGTTGAAGCCGCTGCCCTCACTCCGCCTTTCATTGGCACGCGGCGCAGAGCGGGGGCACTGGGCCCCTGAAGGCAGGGGCCGCTGGCCGGCGGGGGAGGAGCTGAGGCGGAGGCGCGGCCCCGGCCAGGGAGGGGGCCCCTGCTGAGTTGGCAAAATTGGGGGGAGGGGCTGTTGAGTCCCCGTTGTAGAGCGTCTGCGCCCCGCTTGCCAGGGCCGGGCTCTTAAAGGCCCAGGCGCCGCTCGCTCTGCCCCGCCGGGCTGCAGCCACCCGCCCTCTTCGGGGGCTGCCCGTCCCCCCGGAGCCGTGCAGCCGCCGCTCTGCTCCTTTTACCGTGTGGCTCTCATGACTCCTGGAGATGCGCCTTGGGGGCCTGCGTGCAGCGTGCTGTTTGATGGTCAATGTTTGAAAATACAAATCGGGGAGGGGCAGTCATTTTGCAGGGGAGGCCACTTCACACATTTTGGTACGTGAGGGTGGGCGGGCTCTGCCCCTGGAAAGGGAGGGGGCTCGGGCAGAAGGAGTGGGGTTGGGGCTACAGGGAGACTGAGGGAGACATACTTTGTGACAGTGGGACTAGTGATAGAGATGCAGCCGTGTTAGTCAGGTCCCGCTGAAACAAAAGACAGGACTATGTAGCACTGTAAAGGCCAACAAGATGGTTTATTAGGTGATGAGCTTTCCTGGGTCTGCCCCACGAAAGCTCATCACCTAATAAACCATCTTGTTAGTCTTTAACATGCTGCATAGTCCTGTCTTTTGTTTGTGACATTGAGTTTGCATGGCAGTGACAGTGATTGTGTGTGACACAGAGACAGTGTGGTAGGGACTGAGTGTGTTTCTAAGGGTATGTCTAGACTACATGCTTCTTTCGAAAGAGATCATCTAGACAGCCACAACTTTTTTCAAAAAAGTGATGTGCTTTTTTTTGAAAGAGAGCACATAGGCAATCTGGTTGCTCTCTTTCAAAAAAGCCCTGTCTGCATTCAAGAACGCCTTTTTTTTTTCAAAAGAGCTGTTTTGAAAAAAAGGCATTCTTCCTCGTAAAATAAGGTTTACCGCTCTCAGAAAAACCGGTGCATTCTTTTGATTTAATTTTGAAAGAAAGCAGCAGCAGCAGTCTAGATACAGGTGAAGTTTTTTCAAAAAAAACCCTGTAGTCTAGATCCTGACTCTTTAAGGGAAATCTGTCCTTCTCTATTGCCTCTCTCACCCCCTCCCTTCTGCACTTCTCTGAGTCACAAGCTTCAGATTAGCTCTGCTGTGTCTCTGTTTATGACCCCTGCCCTGTAAAACTAGGGGTACAGAACACCCTGCATATCCCTCTCCCCTTCACCACCCCCTTGCACAGCTCCAGGAGAATCCTGGGATCAACTCTGCTGCAGGACAGAGCAAGGTGGGGGGAGCTGAAGGGAAAAAGGCAGCTGTATGCACTTCTGCTTATTAGCTGGGAGGACTGGAGAGAAATGCTAGACAGGGGACTGGAAGGAGTACTGGTGCTGACTGGACTGGCTAAATTGAACAACAGAAAATTAATCTATGATATGACAAATGAAGATGTGGCCTTAAAAATGAATCCTCTTGGAGTACAGTTTTCATTTGTGTTACCCACACATGCATCACAGTGCATCCAAAGCTAGAAATTGTAATGGTTAGAATTCAAGTTTAATGCCATTTTTTAAATAAGGACGTGGTCTCAATTTAGAAAACGTTTATGGATTTTGTTCTTTTTGTAATTTTTTTTACAAGTAGGGCTTGAGAATTGTTAATCAGGAATGTCAGAGGTAATTTGTATCTGCAGCCAAGGGTTTAGATTTCTTTTTAAAGATGGTTTCTGCATGAAAAATATGTCTGGTTATTATTGCAGAACTAGATTGTAGGGTTGACTGTCTGGATTGACTGCTGTTGCCTGTGCCATGTCCACTTTTAGTGCATGTGAATTCCATCCCACAGTTTCTGGAGCATGCTCTCAGGTCTCAGCATTCAGGGGATACTAGCAAACCCTGGACTGTTTTTTACACCAGTTTCTGTTTACAGAATGGAGAGAGCTGCAGGTACATCTTCCAGGTATAAGTATAATTGATCCTATGAGCAGCTAGACATCACCCTTCTATGAGACAAACTGTAGGAAAACTTTCCATCATGGCTTATCTTTTTCTTATTTGCCACTTAGCTGTGGCATTTTAATGGTAACCCTTGATGGACCTGAGATGAAAATTTCCTGCATGATTCTGTGCTGAAAGTGCATCTTGATATCTTCCTCACTCTTGTCTGCTTGGCAGAGGACAGAGAAAAAGCATGCCTCAATCACCCATTCTGCAGTGGTAATTGAGAATTCCCTGCACCTTTTCACTATTTACACACTATGGAAATCTCCATGCCTTTTCCAGGCTCTGGAGTGCTGAGTGCCACAGGAGTGCTGGGAGCCAGCGAGCTGACAGGAGTAGTGTTAAAAGCCTACTACTGACACATTTTCCTAAAAAACCTGCATTACAATGCAACCCTATTAGTTAGAGTTTTGCCATCATACACTCTTTGTGGCGCTGTCACACACACACAGTCGGTATCACACACATGCACACATAATCAGTCCCATACACACTGCCACACACACTCTCCAAGTCGCTGTGCCACACGCACTCAATCTGTCTCAAAGTCCGTCTCTCTCTCACACGCTCCTTCTTGTAGCCCCAATCCCACCTCTTCTGCCTGAGGCCCTGCCCTGTCTGCTCACAACCACAAACCAAAATTTGTGAAGTGCCCCCCCCCCTGCAAAAATTATTGCCCATCCCTGCCTCACCCTAACCTTTCAGGTCTAGTGTAGACTTGGCCTAAGTAAAGAAGCTTGTTTAAGTATATCTTTCTCCTTTACAGCCACTCCAACTTCATCATCCTTAAGTAAAGTCAGGACTTGTTACATTGTAATCATTCCACAATGCAGTAAAGGCAACATCAATTTAGAAATTACAGTGTTCAGCTGAAAGAGGAGCTATGAGAAGAAAAATCCTAGGTCCCAATTCTGCAAGATACTAGTTCCTTTGGGGAAGGGCTGAGTCCTCTCAGGATCCACATTGAAGCCCATAAAAAAAAGCTTAGCTCCACACATTTGGTGATCTGGACCATGCAGGAATGGGCTTATACAGATGGTAATACAGTATTTTCAAAAAAGGGGACAGTGAATATTGCTTTTGTTATGATCATTGCATTATGCTGATTTGCATAGTTGTTGCATTACATTAGAATGATTTTGCATACAGTCATTAATTTTCTGTCTCCCTTTTGCAGTTTTCAACTATATTTGTTAGCATAATGCTATTCAAATGTGGCTCCCTGCTCCAAACAACTTATAATAAAGCACAGGTGTAAAGAGAGGAAAATAAAATACAGAACAAATACACTGCATGAGTTATCTCTGTATCAAGAATGTTTCATGAACAGATGGGTCTCCATAACTTTTGAAAGACTGGGAAAGGTGAATGTGATGATTTTTTCAACCACAAGACATGGCAAAAAAGAAGGTACAAATTCAGGAATTGGTAACGGAGATAAAGGGCCTTCTACTCCTATTTCCATTTCAATTAATGGCAAAACTCCCATTGATTTCTATGGAGTGGGATCAGACCCCCAAAAGATTTTAAAAGATCATAAGTAGGAAGCTGTCCAGTAGCATGCAGGAACAGATCTACAAGCTTAGTACGAAAAGAACAAAGTCTTAATCTGATGCTGATTGAGAGTATCCCAGAGCAGAGATTTGAGGAATGGCAATGGGAAATGAGAAACAAGGAAGGTGGATAAGCAGAAAGACTGAAAGCTGCTCTTGGCAATAGTATTGAGATTAGAATGGAGTGGAAAGAACTAGAGAGACCAAACAGGGAGAGGTTATAGGAGCTGAGCTGAGTGATAACCAAAGAATGGATGAGGTTTTCAGCAGGGGGGATGGAAAAGCAAGTGGGGGATTTTGTAACATGTATGCCAATGTGAGAGATTTTTTTTTTAAATTAACAGATTTTGCTCCTAGTAAAAAATGTAGAGCATCTTGAATATTTAATAAAGAGTTAAAAAGCTCCCATCCTTAGGCTATTCTCAGTTATATGAATGCAATTTATACACAATTAAATACCAGTACAAGACACATCAGTGCCACTAAAACAATAACCCTCTGGAAAAATACATTCGGCAAATTAAATAAGTTCTGTATGAAGAGTTTTAAAACAATAGAATGTCAATCTAAACAATTGTACTGCAAAGGAATTAATTCTCTTTCTTCATAGCTGTCCCTAGGGCATCTCAGCAAACAGCTGCTGTGTATAGATTTAATGGCAATCACTTAATCCCAGAGTTCAAGGAAACTAATATCACAAGTTCTCCACCTGTTCTTCTACATTCTTTCTAAGGGTATGTCTATACGGCAACATTATTTCAAAATAACTTAGTCCGCGTCTACACATCCAGCAATTATTTCAATGCATCCACATCCTTTGGAGAGGGTCCAGCGGAGGGCAACCAAAATGATTAGGGGGCTGGAGCATATGACTTATGAGGCGAGGCTGAGGAACTTGGGTCTGTTTAGTCTTCAGAAGCGAAGAGTGAGGGGGGATTTGATAGCAGCCTTCAACTTCCTGAAGGGAGGTTCCAAAGAGGATGGAGAGAGGCTGTTCACAGTAGTGACAGATGGCAGAACAAGGAGCAATGGTCTCAAGTTGTGGTGGGAGAGGTCCAGGTTGGATATTAGGAAAAACTATTTCACTAGGAGGGTGGTGAAGCACTAGGGTTACCTAGGGAAGTAGTGGAGTCTTCATCCCTAGAGGTGTTTAAGTCTCGGCTTGACAAAGCCCTGGCCGGGTTGATTTAGTTGGAATTG